TAAAGCAATTGTAATAAAATGTAATTTATATCAATTAATTAAACTGAAGAAATAGAGAATTGGAAGAGTATAAATTGTTCTCGTAACAAAATCTGTTACTACTTTGGAAAAATTCATTTTACGGTAAATTAGTTCTCTTAAAAAGGTCCTTGAAAATTTAATTTTATTACTTTAAGCTAGAAATTGTAATTTTAGTGCTTTAAGCTGCAAATCAAATAGCACACATTATCTTTGTAGTAATAGGTTTGAATTATATTCGTTTCTAATGTAAGTACATTATTCTTACTTGATATTTTTAACTTTTCTTTGGTATAAACTGTTAAATACGTTTTCTTTAGCAAAATTATTCTCTACATTTTTGTTTTACTGAGTAAAATGGGTGAAATAGCAATTTTTCTATACCACGAATATGGATGGAATTAATGATGTTAAATAAATTTTCTCACTGTCATAAGTACGGAAATTCGTGAATTCATTCGAGTCTCGTTCCCATTATTGGGTGATTATAATAAGTTCATGAGAATATTATTCATTATATTCGGTTTGGTTTTTTTCATTTCCTATTTGCAAAATAAGAACGATCTTTACCTTATACTTGCCAATGTTGCGGACACTGCATGAAAAAACAACTTCACGGCCAATCGCGGCTGTTTGGTTTCCAACTGGAGCGATGAATACAGGTCCCGTGGCAGTGTTTGAATCTGGAATAACAAACGAAAATTTTTAATTAATTTTTTATACTTTCATTATTCACTGCTGTTTTACTTGCGTAAGACAAGCTGGAAAATAAAATTTTGTGTAGTTACGTAGATCATGACTTTTTAATTTTTTATCGTGTACTGCTGTCTACACATGGTGTTTTTAAAGAAGACTTCTGAACGTACGAGGTAGTGTATTATATGGATATTATTTAAGTGGTACTTTTGATTTTGGTAGAAATATACTTTTATTTTCTAACTTACATTAGACACCTTTCCTCTTGGCTATTCGCTCTTACAACGTTACCATTTTCACTTCGCTTTTGGCTTTCATACTCACGTACACACGGTCACGCTCAGTCGCAGATTCGTACACGCATTCACACACTCTTGCCACGCGTCGATTTTTGCATGTATTCTCATTCAGAAAAACTGTCACTCGGTTCAAACACTCTTTATTCACACCTCTCTCGATCCGATTGTCACACGGACCAAACACTCTTTATTTACACCTCACTCATTCCTACTATCACTCGGCCCAAACATCCTTATCTCATATCCTACAGTACAGTGTGAGCTGTGATAGCCAACCCTAACCTCAAGCCTTAGTCGCCTTGTTTTTTACTAGTTTTCACGTATTGCTGATCCGAACACTCGTCCCTTGTTTTCCTCAACTTTCCCACGTACGCTCACGCGAACAAACCAGCCTAAACCATCCCGACTAGAAATTTCAGTTAAGCAGATATTAGGTCCGCATTAGGCTAGCCTAATTTGCCTGTTAGGCCCGCATGCGGTATGTAACGCGGAATATTCACGAACGCCTAATTGGGAAAGCCGCGTTAGGACCACTTAGACTATCTAATGAGGCCAACCGTATTAGACCCATATTAGAATAGCTTTATTAGGCTGTCATTGGAAGACATTAATGAAATCTCACGAGGAATACTTCATCAAGACACTGTATGGATTCAATTGTAAAAACTTTTATCTTGTTGAAAGCTCTTACGCAAGCGTACGTCTGACACTGAGATGTCTGTAAATATTCCTATATGTAAGCTTGAGAGCCCCACTCTACCTAATTTAGGCGTGCGCTCGGCCATCCCTATTTCGGCCACGTATGGCAACTATTAGGAATGCCTAACTTAGGCGTGCGCTCGGCCATCCCCATTTCAGCCACGTGTGACAACTGTTAGGAACGCTCAACCTAAGCGTGCGCTCGGCCATCCCTATTTCGGCCACGTATGGCAACTGTTAGGAATGCCTAACTTAGGCGTGCGCTCGGCCACCGCCATTTGGGCCACGAATGGCAACTATTAGGAATGCCCAACTTAGGCATGCATCATTCCTTCCGAATTAGGACCTAATGCGGTAACGATTAGGCTTGTAGCATTTAGGTATGCCTAATCGTTTCCGCATTAGGTCCACATTTGTCTTTAGGCATGCCTAACTGAAATTCTAGTCGGGATTGTAATTGTGAGAAAATCCGTCCCGAAGACGGTGAAGCGAGCATCTTAAAGCGCGCTCGGTGGGGGCGACTCGCCCCTTTGGGTTTTTCCCTGGGCCTGTTCGCGTAGGGGTGGACAGGGATCGGCAGGACGCGTCCTCACTCTTCACGGGACCCTTGAAGTACACTTTTTGCGAACGACGCTCAGATAACGCGGATATAATTCTTGTGTTACATATACTATTGTAAAAACGTAGACACGTTCAATTAATTTTACGCCCTCCCTACTTTGAGTCAGAGCACTTTCTGACATACCCTTGTAATTAATCACCAACTCCATTTTTAGATCCTAAGTTATACAGGGTGGTCCACTCAACTTGCACACCTCGAATAAATTCTAAAGTATGCGTTGTATGAAAAAATGTTTTATACAAGAGTTGCATGGTTTGGAGGGGTACATTATGTAGTGTATGTACCTTTTTTTCATAGATCGAGGCATTTCGAAGATTTCAAGGTCAATTTCATTATTTTAAATGGAATGTTATATTTTTTATGCCAATGTATCGAAGAATGTTGTATTCTGAGTATAAAAATATCGATACTTATTAGCCCTAAACCAAATAATTAACGGCTAATTTCGCTTCTTTTCTTGAAAATGTGCTTTGCGCTCCGGAACGGAACATTCGCCTAAAGGTCTATCGGTACCCGAGCGATGTCTGTTACGCGTATGTTAATTATTAGGTTTAGGGCTAATACAGGTCAATACTTTTTTACTCAGTATTCAACATTCTTCGATATTGTTAGGGATTGGGTTTATGACATGGACGCCTGTTTACGCTATTTTTGAATGCGCCCCTTTTTTTCTTCGTGTTAATTTTTCTTTCAAATTGGCCACGAAGCCCAGGAAGCGTTTTATGGCTGCAGAAAAATAAATTTTCTGCGGGCCACATACCTTCCCGGTTCCCACTCGTGAACATTCAATAGACATTGACGTGTCATAAAACCTTTCGCGTCACTCTGATCGCCCAAAATCCCGTTACGAGCGGGCTACCCTTGGGCCTCACTCCCCCGCCATCGCGACATACCACCACCCTGCCAACTTGGAAATTCCAGGGTGGGCGGCATGCTCGCGGGCCAGGGAGGACCGCCCAAGGGGGTAGACCCGTTCCCATTGGCGGAGACCACCACTCTATACACATACACTTTTTTTATAAATAAGCGCACCAACGCGGCACACAAACAGATCAAGAAAAGTATGTCAAACACACACCACGGAAAAGCACCACTCTTCAAAAATAAAGCATTTTTCTTTTAACATATTAAAATACGTGCAAACTCTAAGTCATACTTTAAAAGTTATTCGAGGTGTGCAAGTTGCGTGGACCACCCTATATATAGGAAACCAATTACCATTTTAGGTTCAATCTCTGTACAACCAGTAAACCTCGATTCAATATTAACCCTTTGCACTAGAAGGTCTTTTTGCTGCAGGGAAGATTGCATATCTCCTTTGAAATTTTGTTTAAATTAACGTGGAAGTAAACTATACTATTTTCTTTCAATATTTAATGTAATTAATAAATATAATAATCAAAAACATCTTTTCTTTACTTGTTAATTTTATTAAGTAAAACAATATGTAACTAATTATTTTCGCATTCTACAAATAGTTTGATAGTTTAAGTTTGTAAAATGTAATTTTTCATAAATATTTCACCCCCTATTTTAGTTTCATTTCAATTTTAGATTAATTAACCACCATTACCCCCTTTTCCCCTATTCTTGATGTTGATTCTTCTAAACTATGTCATTGCTCAGAACTCTAATATACGAGGGCGGATTGAAAAGTTCGCGGCCTAAGTGGGAAGAACTGCTGCTAGGTGCTTGCAATATGTGTACCGACGTACGAAGTTCCGTGGCTCTCTTTTACAGCTGGTGAAGTAGGGGTGTTTACAGCGACGGAGAAGAGACGAATAGAAGCGAGGAATGATCCAGTATCTGATGACAAAGGACATTACCGCAAGTACCTTCAATGATTTTCGCAAGAATTTCGAATAATTTTTGCAAGGTCCTTGAATGATCTTCGAAGTGAGGTCCTTTATCTTCAGGTATTGGATCGCTGTTCATTTTCTAATTTTGTCCATCTCTACTCCATCTACTGCAGATACCTCTACTTCACTAGCTCTAAAAGGCAGAAAAATGACGACAGAGATATACATTAGTGCACAATTAATTACATATTATTCGGTAAAAATTACAAGCACTTAGCTGCAATCCTTCATACCTAGGCCGTGAACTTTTCAATCCACCCTGGTATATGTATATGACGAACCATTTATGGAGGCTCATAGATTTACTATGTAAGGGAAATATCAGCTCTAAGAGGGTTTCCATCAATTATTTACCAAGTGATAATTATTTAATGTCACTTCTCAGTCGCCACTCGATTGCAAAGGATTAAAACTCTGTCTCTTGTAAATCCTGTCTTTTGGCATATTAAATCCCTTACCTAAACGGTGTACTTGTGCGACGGTATAAAACTCACACCAGTAAGCCTCTAAAGAGTGTTGAATCCACGGAATCAAGAACATTGAAATACTCGCGCTCAGTCCGTCACAGAGCTTAGGAAAGAACATGAAGAGTGCTTAGTAAATTCGAATCGGCAGAATAATATTACAAAAATTTGAAGTTATTTTTATACCTATAAAATATATGGTTTAGAGGTGGCATTGCAGTAAGAATACGATGAAATATAATAATTCATTATTTTCGCTTTGTACAGAATAAACGAAGGTAAATTACTTGTACTCGTGGCATTACAAATTACTTCTAACTTCGACAGGATTAATTCTTTAATCCATGTTGCTTAAACATTTTTTAAACAACTCTACTCTATAGTACGTCTTGTAGCCTCTTTTAAAAACACTCGCCATGTATCAGTTGTATTTTGAAAGTTGCATAAAACTAATACGTATTCAAATTTGGTGCAAAACATCTATTCTAGATAATCTTGTGATTTCCATTGTTTGCAAAGTTTTACAAACTTATTACTTTGATTTTTCTTTAAATTGCATAAGTCAATATTACGTTCACGATAACAAAATTGGAGAAAGTCATGTTAAAAGTTTGCAAAGTTTTACAAACTTATTACTTTGATTTTTCTTTAAATTGCATAAGTCAATATTACGTTCACGATAAGAAAATTGGAGAAAGTCATGTTAAAAGTAGAATATACATATAATACAAAGAAAAAGTACTTAATTATGTTAACTTTAATCGTCAACGGAAGTCTCAATGATACGGATCTATGCAAATGTCACAACCATTTCTTTATTGTCATTTGTTTCTAATATGGAATTATTTTTTATGCGATTTCAGGTGATAGAGACTGCTACGTAAAACAGAGAAATAGCAATAATTTCAATAAGACATCTGCTCGTAAAAATTCAAATTTGTATATTTTCATTAAACAATGTCTCAGAAAATGTGCCAAAAGCCTCCTGTAATTATTTACAATGAGATTTTCCTAAGACTACGGTCGTCATAATACGTGCAAAGTCCCTGTTAAGGTTAATTATGCGCAGGGTATTTTCTATAACTATACTTTAATTATAATATAAAGTTATTACACTTAAACTAAGTTTACACCTTCCTGTATGACTTCTCGTATACGACTACGGCTACTTTGATTAAGTGTCGAGAAAGTCTGTTCCAACACATTGGTTTTGCCTAATTGTACTCGATGCCGTTATTGTTTAATTTTCAGTTACCTTTTCAACAGTCTTCAATATTTTTTGTCCACTAAACTGGACCCCTCTTTCACAAGCTCTTTGCGCCATCTTTTTGTTCAGTTTCACTTTATGCTACACACATATCTACATATTGTTGGGGAGGAGAACTCTTCCAAGTCCTCCAGAAAAAGACGATTTCAGCGTCGCATCGGGATTCGAACACTCTGTTCGATCTGTTAGCGCCACTGGCCAGCCGCTTTAACCACCACAGGAAATGCCACTTTTTCAATTTTTTCTGCTTTTTGTATGGGCTTTTTTGTGTTCTTCTAAATCTACTATAACATATTATCTTGTAACAACCATCAACGAAAACAGCGACAAAAATTTCCATTGCGCGAGAGGAAGTGAGAGGAACGACTCTCTATCCTCGTCGACAATCAAATAATCGCGAAGTTTCCAGGACAAACTAGTTTTACGCGGGAGACTCGCGGTTTTACGCGGGAAGCCACTTAGCGATGCGACTTGTTGATAAGCCGCGCTTCATTAGCATCGGTCAAATATAAATTTCACGGCCAGGCATTCTTGCTGCACTCTGCTGGGAGAGAACGAGGTATTACCATCGGTCGCCCTTCAGAGTGGGAGAGTACGAAGCCTAGCTTTTGGACGCCCTCACAGCACAGGAGGGTACGGGGACTGACACCTGGGTCACTCTCTGGAGGAGAGAACGGCTGGACTATCCGCCGGTCGCCTCTGAGAGAGGAGAGTACAGGGAGGTCACCCGGACGCCTGAGGAAGCTCGGAGAGGATTACTTAGTACTTCTGTGGGTATGGAGAGAACGGCTGGCCTATCCGTCGGTTGCCTACCAGGAGAAGTGCGCGTGGACTCTCCGATCATACGCGTATCGCTTAAATATTGTGATAGGAGAGTACGAGAGCTATACCTGGGTCGCTCCTGGAATGGAGAGAACGGCTGGACTATCCGCCGGGCGCCTTCCAGAGAGTAGAGTACAGGAGGCTCGCCGGACGCCTTCCCACAATAATTGTTATAAATCATTTTATCCGTTTCGTTAATATTGTAACGGGAGAGTACGGCTGCTTAAAGCCGGACGCCCGAAAGCGAAAGCAACAGCTTGAACGCTGCATTGATTTGTTCGAAATTATTCTGTATCAAACATGTTCGGGTTTTATTGAATCATACGCTTACATTGTTAAACTGTATATACATTAGAATAAGTATGGCTTATAATAATTAGTAAATTGATAGTCGAACCACACACGTGGCGGAGGTTCCATGTCTCGAAAAAACAAAGACACAACGGATCGGCAACAACTGCCGATCAGCGCGGGTCGCGCTACCCGCGTCGCTTTTGCGCATGCGCAGAGCAACTCTTCAAAAAATTTAACATGTATCAACGAAAGATAAATAAACTTTTGTGTGTTTTTCCCAGATACCAAAGAATAGTTTGTATTATAAGTTCGGAAATTATTCGATTCAAATGTAACTAGAAACAATATGAAAGTATGTCGTTGTGTTTGGATTTATTGACACTTGGAAAACTTCAATAATACGTCAAGTTTTGCATAGACAGATTTACTGAAGAATGTATAAATTTAAATTGTCATTGATAGACGAAAAGCACGAAATTATCGCTTTTATCTGTCACCGGCCGATCGCTCAAGGCTCGTTTGCTGCTATTCGTGCTGAATCAGCTAAAAAAAAGTGACAATGCTGGCTCCACAAAACCTTAACCGGAAAAAAAATGTGATGACTTATCTGGTCATCCTGATTGTTCGGTTGTCTTATCATAAAGCACGGCCTTTATAAATAAAATTTCTACCCTAACATAATACTTATCAGTAAAATACAAGCAAATCAATAGAATGACTACAATGCTTATACTAAAAATATTCTAGCGATTTACAGCACACGGTGAGCTTGGTTTAAAGGTATACGCACAATTATTTCTTTAGCTTTAAAAAATGTGTTAAAAGTGTTCACATAGAAGTTACTTGAGTTCATGCAAATAAATTCATGAATTCTTTGAATTTTTTGTGACATTGCTTACGAAAATTTCAGCATTAACTCCTTTCTTAAGAATCAAAGAGTCAAAGAAAAAGTTGAATAAAACAAAATATTATAAAGGTAATAACATTTTTATTGTTTATATACATAGGCATTTTATTTGTTTATATATTTTCATAATCAGCATTAACAAAATTTAAAAATAAAACCAATTTTTAATAGAAAAACCGAACCGTTGCTGTTTGTGGCATCGTAAATGTCGTGGGGTGATTACGTGATTACCAACACTACTTATTTGTTTACAAAAGTCGCTTAAATAGTCTCTAGATGTGCTCTGACCATCACTGCACTTTGGAAACAATCGTAACACATAATCCAATCTTCAGTTGAAGGGTTCTCGTACTTTTTTTTTTACTATAAATACAGTAATATTCATCTTCGTCATTTTCAGCGTTAATTTTCTTTTTGTTTATTTTCCTTTTCTTTCTTGGTATTTCTTTTTCTGTGTGTCTCTATTTTTTCTTGAAAATTTTCAAAATTTCTCACTATTTTACTTCTAGTTAGTCTTTCGGTATCGTGATAAACGTTCGAAATTGCACCACACAATTCGTTCGTCATTACCCCATAAGGTGAAAAACAGAAACAATGGAGATAAATTTAGCATAGAAACATCAAATAGAAAATATACTGGTTTTAAATTAATCCTCAATTAGTACTCTTTTGTGTTTTTAAACATTAGTATTAAGATAATTATAAATACAAAAGCTATACTTACTTTACTTTCTTCAAAATATTAGATGGAGAGGAGCAAAAACATTTAATAATTTTTACCTCCATCAGTGTGCGTGTCAACTATTTCTTATTGGCGGACTGGCATTACATTTGGTACGAACAATCATGTGGCAAAAGGAGGAAATGTTCAGGTTTTTCTAACACCATTATATGCCCGACTAGAATTTCAGTTAGGCAGATATTAGGTCCGCATTAGTCTAGCCTAATTTGCCTGTTAGGCCCGCATGCGCTATGTAACGCGGAATATTCTCGACCGCCTAATTGGGAAAGCCGTGTTAGGGTCGCATTAGGCCCATATTAGAATAGCTTTATTAGGCTGTCATTGGGAGACATTAATCACGTATGGCAACTGTTAGGAATGTCCAACCTAAGCGCGCGCTCGGCCATCCCCATTTCAGCCACCTATGGCAACTGTTAGGAATGCCTAACTTAGGCGTGCGCTCGGCCATCCCCATTTCAGCCACCTATGGCAACTGTTAGGAATGCCTAACTTAGGCGTGCGCTCGGCCATCCCCATTTCAGCCACGTATGGCAACTGTTAGGAATGCCCAACTGAGGCATGCATCATTCCTTCCGAATTA